GGGTGGCTACCGCACTCGCCACCCATGACCAAAAAAAACACGCGCTCGACCGCATTCCACCGTCACTTCGATCCTGGCACGAGTTATGCTCTATACGAAGGTAAGCAATCAAAACGACGCGCGGGTCGGATGACGATGTTTTCGATAACCCCGCGCCCACAAGCAAAATAGAGAGCACGACGATGACGACGCAAACGCGATGGGGCTGGCTGGCAGCCGCAGTGATTTTTGGTTTCTCACCTGTGACGATGACCGCATGTGGCGGCACAGGCGATGACGGCGAAGGCACCTCCCCGACCAATGAAGCGACCGCAGATGGCGAGCGCAAGGTTCGCGATGGCAAGGCCGATGCGTGGAACTGGCGCAACGATCCTCAGGGCTTTCGCACCTCGCTCGACTACGAGTTCGAGGCGCTCCCGATGGAAGGTCGCACCAACGCCACCCCATGGACCGCTTCCTACTGGCCTTACTACCAGGATGGCATCAACCACCGCTGGCAGTCGCACAGGCCGATGACGGCAGAGGAGAACTGGCGCGGACTCTCGCCAGCCGAGAAGTACGACATCGCCTTCAACGACTGGACGCCAGCAGAAGGGTTCACCGACCTCTCGCCGTTTAACCCACAAACCTGCGAGTTCGACGCCGCTTACTACGACGGCCTCGGCTCGGCGGCGAAGTGGACGCACGAGAACAAGGGCATCGCGCCGATGACCAACGGCATCGACGACGACAACGACGGCGTCGAGGATGCGCAAGAGTGCGAGCAAAACCGCGAGGCTGACCGCGCCGACTTCGACCGCATCGAGACCTGGTGGGGCATCTGCCACGCATGGGCACCCGCGGCTCTGGTCGAGCCAGAGCCGCTCGCGCCAGTGACACGCAACGGCGTGACGTTCGACGTGAGCGACCAGAAGGGCCTGATCATCCAGCAATGGGATCGCACCTCGGCTTACATGGTCGGCGGGCGCTGCAACGAGGACGAGCTCGAGCGCGATGATACGGGCCGCATCACCGTGGAAGAGTGCCGCGACTTGAACGCTGGTAGCTGGCACGTGATCGTGACCAACTTCATCGGCCTCAACCGCAAGGGCATCGTCATCGAGCGCACGACCAACTACGAGGTCTGGAACCAACCTCTGTTCGGTTACAAGATCGACGAGCAACGCGAGATCTCGCAACAAGAGGCGCTCACCCTGCTTAACCTCGACACCGAGGTCGTGACGGGAGAAGAGACCGGCGAGTTCGTGCACGAGATCGAGGAAGGCAGCGCGAAGGCCAAGGGCGTGCTCGAGCTTGTCAACAAGGCAGACCTCGAGATGCTCGACGATGACGCCGCGCTCTACTCGACGGCGGCAAAGAACATCATCGCCCACCGCGACGGTGAGGACGCGACGCCCGGCACCGCCGATGACAACCTGTTCGACACGCTGGCAGAGCTCGACGAGGTCTCGTATGTCGGCTCGGCCGCATTCGGTCAACTGCTCGGCTACGCCGTCGCCAACGGATACGTCCCCGGCGCGGAGTACAAGTATAACCCAGACGCCGAGCGCTTCATCGAAGTCCGCATGACGACGGACTGGATCACCGAGCAGCACCAGTCGGCTGATCGCACCGACACGATCATCGACCGCTACACGATGCACGACAGCTACCACTACATCCTCGAGCTCGACGCGGAAGGGAAGATCATCGGCGGCGAGTGGGTCGGCGACTCGAACCTGAACCACCCCGACTTCGTGTGGCTGCCGACGCGCGCCATCAGCGGCAACCCGAACATCGACATCGAGGTCGTGCGCGACATCATCGCGGAAGGCCGTCAGTCGGTGCTCGGCGATGACGAGCCAGAGACCGAGGCGCTCTCGTTCAGCAGCGACGAGATCGTGCGCATCCCCGACAATGATCCTGCGGGCGCCGTCTCGACCATCGAGGTCGACCGCGTGGGCACGGTCGAGAGCATCACCATCAACGCCAACGTCGAGCACACCTACCGCGGTGACATCTACCTCGAGCTTCGCCATGGCGGCGTCGCGATCAACGTCTTCAACGGTCACGAGGTCGACTCCCCATGGGATGACGACATCGCGCTCGAGGCGGTCGAGGTGCACGGGTTCGAAGGCGCCAACCTCTCGGGTGATTGGGAGCTCTTCGCGGTCGACACCTACGGCTACGACGTGGGTCAGATCATGAACTGGTCGATCGACTTCACTGTGAGCGAGTGAGCCTCACAGAGACACGACGGAAACGTTGTCAAAAGAGAGACCGCGGGCGATTTTAGAGCGCCCCGATTGTCCTACCATCCCCGTCAGGTGTAGAGTGCCCTTCTGTCGAAGCGACTCTATGTTTGGCGGGGATGATGCGTTCTACACGAAAGAAACTGATCGATGGCTTCTACTATCGCCTCGAGCGATTTGTCCTGAGCGGCACCCCCGGTCGACTCGCGCTGATGACAGGGATCGTGATCCTGCTATCACTGGGCGCTGGTGTTGCAGCCATGTGGGCCGATCCCTCGTTCAAAAACCCCGCCGAGGCGATCTGGTGGGCATTCCTCAGGCTCACCGATCCCGGTTACCTCGGCGATGATCAGGGCAACGCCAAGCGTGCCATCTCGACAGGGCTGACCATCCTCGGGTTGGCGGTGTTCGTCGGTGGCCTGGTGGCCATTGTCACGCAGTGGCTCAACGAAACTGTCCGAAAGCTCGAGATGGGCCTGACACCAGTATCACTGGAAGGACACGTGGTGTTGCTCGGCTGGACGGACCGCACGGTCGGTATCGTGCGAGAGCTGGTTCGCTCCCAGGATCGCGCGCGCCAGCTGATCCGCTTCAAGAAGCGCAAGCAGCTCTCGATCGTGGTGCTCGCCGAGGAGCTCGACGCATCCCTGCTGCACGAGTTCAAGACACAGCTCGGGGAGGATTGGGACAACAGCCTGATCACGTTGCGAAGCGGCACGCCGCTTCGCAACGAGCACCTGGACCGCGTCGACTTTCTGCGCGCGGCGGTGATCGTCCTGCCCGGGGCAGACTTCGCAGAAGATGGCCCGGACGCCGTCGACACGCGCACGATCAAGACGATCCTCTCGATCAATCAGGCCGCCGCCGTGGTCGAGGATCGCGAGGATCTCCCGCTGCTCATCGCCGAGATTCACGACTCGCGCAAGGTCTCGCTGGCGAGGCGCGCCTATCGCGGCGAGATCGAATTGCTGGCGAGCGACCGCACCACGGCATGTCTTATCGCGCAGAACACGCGCCACGAAGGGCTCTCGTTCATCTACCGCGAATTGCTCGATCAGGAAGGCAACGAGCTCTACATCCGCAAATGCCCGGAGCTGTTGGGCAAGCCGTTTCACGCGGTCGGCGCACACTTTCCCTGGGCGATTCCGATCGGCGTGGTTTACCGCGAGGGAGAGCTCTGGCGCTCGCACCTCTGCCCCAAGTTCGACTACGTCCTCCAGAAACAGGACCACCTCGTCTTTGTCTGCGAGACGCTGCAAAACTCCGAACCGGTCCTGGTCGATGTGACGCCCTACCCCGAGCTCGCCGAGATCAAGACCTACAAGGAAGAGGAGCCTCCGATACGGCGCGTGCTGGTGCTCGGCTGGGGGCACATGTTGCCAGCGTTGCTCGATGAGTTCGACGGGTTCACCTTCCAGAATCACGAGGTGACGATCCTCTCTGCGGTCCCGCTGGAGAAGCGCGATCGCGAGTTCCAGGCATACGGCATGGATCTCGAGCGCGTCACCGTGGAGCATATCGAGGGCGATTACACTCTGATGACGGATCTGGAGCGCGCCGACCTGGAGAACTTCGATCAGGTGATCATGCTCGCGAGCGAGTGGGTGGGCACGGCCGAAGAAAGCGACGCGCGAACCATCGTAGGCTATCTGCTGTTGCGAGAGCGCCTCGAGGCGCTCTCGCATCACCCGAAGATCATCGTCGAACTCACCGACGAATCGAACCAATCCCTGCTCACGGGCGACAACACCGAGATCATCATCAGCGCCGAGCTCGAGGGACACATGCTCGCGCAGGTGACCTTGAGACCAGAGCTTCGGGCAGTCTTCGACACGTTATTTGGCTCGAGGCCGCCGATGTTCGACTTTCGCCCCGCCGCGTCCTACCCGGACGTGATCGGCGAGGAGCTCGAATTCGAGGCGCTCCAGCGAATCGCGAGGAAGTATGAGGAGATCGCTATCGGCGTGCGCGTCGAACCTGTCGAGGGAGATGATCAGGAAACCAACGGCGGCGTGATCCTCAACCCGGACAAACACTCGAGCTGGAAGCTGACAAAGAAGGATGACCTGATCGTGTTGATGCGCAGGCAGTGATTTTTTAGCCGCCTCACTCGCAGGATTTCTCCGGGACGCGGCCTGTATCTCGTGGAATAATATTCTTTAGCCTGCAACTATATTGTTCGCAGCGTATCTTTTCTTCATCATCGCACGCGTCCACGGAAAGGTCTCTTGAGCAAACAATCTCGCCAACTCGTCATCATCCTCGGGCTCGGTTTTCTCCTCACTGTTTTGGCCTGTGGTGGGTTGCTCGCGATCGGCGTCTACGGAGAGCGCGAGGTCGATGTCCCCTCGACACAAGAGCAGCTCCTTATCGGGCCAGCAGATCTCGCGCCGTACACGTACACGTACACGGACCTCGACGTCGACGCGAGCAAGACCGAGATCAAGAAGGTCGAGCACGTCCTGGGCTTTACCGAGCTGACGTTGACCTTCGAGCACGAGAGCGAGGACGAATTCATCTTCATCTTCACCCGGCTCTACAAGGACACGAACAAGGCAGATCTGATGAACGACTTCACCATGGAGTGGGGATTAAACGATCTGTTTCTCCAGGATGGCGTGGAGCTCGTCAAGACCGGGGACTACGCGTGCTGTGATGACTCGAGGTTTGGCTACTACACCTACCAGGGAGATCGCATCGGCGCCCTCTTCATCGCCAGACAAGGGGACTTCGTCTACTCCGTGGATATGTACGGATTGCAAATCGTCGACATCGAAGGACTCTCCGAGCTGCTCGATGAAAAGATCAGCGAGATTTCGAAGCTCCAACACTTCTGAGCGACGCGGAACTTTCCTCGTGTGTTGCTGTCTTACAGGTCAGTAAAGCAGCAACGCATGAGGTCACCGCGTGACGAAAGCAGCAAAGAGAACCCCCTCACGAATCGTCACGATTTGCGCCCTCACCCCCCTCATCCTCTCGGGCTGTGAACAAGAACCTGCGCCGACCTCGAAAGCGACGCCGCCTGCGCCTGCGCCTGCTGGCGTACGTCGTTCGGCGCAACCAAGAACACTCGATAGTTTGCCGACCCCGGCGGCGATGTACCCGGAGGTTCACATCTCGAGTGATTCTCTGAAGCTGTTCGAGCAACCACGTGCGACCAACCTCGCGCCTGCCTTCGAGATGCGCCTGAACAACGGCAACCTCCCTGAAGATCAAAAACACCCGCTGTTTATCCCGGCGTTGGTCAAGGCGCTGGAAGAGCTCGAAGAGAAGCAAGCATGGGAAAAGTTTGAAGAGGCGTCAGGCATTCGAAAGCCACACGCATCCTCCAAAACATCTCCCCAGACACCTCGCCAGGAGTGCATCGCCACGCAACCAGGCTTCTACGTGCCCCTGACACTGTCTATCAACGCACGCCATGACGGGTGCTTTGCGCTTCCCTGCGACAAACAGGTGCTCGTCTTCGCCGACAAACATGTCCCTGTTTCGACATGGCTAAAAGTCGCCCGTTCCGCTGCCAGACGGGATATCGAACCGCTATTTGCTCGGCGCACAGCGTCGGACGTCACCCACATCTTCCCAGTCGAGATGCCCTGGTTTCATCCCCTCGGCCCGCCATCAGATGCTTATGATATCAGGGGCGTTTGCTATAGCTTTCAGGTCTCGCCTGACGCGGACCGCTGGCGCTATCACATGCGTATTCGACCAATACTCCGAGATGATCTGGCCACCGCGTTCACGCTGGCCGAGGAGCTCGAAGATATCTGCGGAGGGCGCTTCGAGATCGTGCCGAACTCATCGAAAACACCAGCCTTCGAAGAGCTCTCGTCCGAGTCTTTATGTGGGAGCGACAAAAGCACTGTGCTCGATGTATCGGCGTCGAACCACTCGCCCGAGCAGATCCTCGATGTGGCTCGCGACCTGAGTGATTGGAGTGGCTCCCATATCTTGCTCTCTGATTACCGAGACCCTGGACAGAAGCACCGAGCACCACCCACCATTTTTGCAGATCAAATCGACCAACATGTCGGGCAATACCACGAGTGCATCAAGACCTTCCTTCATACCCAGTGATGGCATGGCCAGGTGAGCTCAGAAGTTCGGGAGAACCATCAACTGCTTGGGGTGGAAGTTGAACGGGTGATTCACGACCACCTGTTCACACTGATCGAACGCGGGGAACGCCAGGTCACGCAGCTTGTGCTCGAGGCAACGGGGGATCTCGTCCTTGCCGGTGGTGTTCTTGGTGACGTGAAAACCACTCACCTTGCCATCCTGTCCGATGGTCATCTGCACCTGAACGCTCCCCTCGAGGTCGCGGTCGCGGAGCAGCTCAGCCTCATAGCATGCGCGGATTTGATTTCGTCTGCGGCTGATGGCGCGCTTGACGATCGCGCGCGAGAGGCAATCGGCCTTGCCCGCCTCGTCCTGTGTTCCCTTGCTCGCGCGTTGAAAGTAAATGTCGTCGATCTCTGCGGCGCGACGCTCCAACCTCGGCGCCACGCCTCGACCTCCCATCGCGGAGCGCTCGAGCCCCATCGACATCGAGATCCCCAGTGATTCACCACGAGCCGCGCCAGCGCCACGCCCGGTGCTCGTGGTCCCGAGCCCTTGCTCTCCGAGCGCATCACCGAAGTCAGCGTTCGAGATCCTGCCCATCGCGTCACGCTCGGCGTCCCCGCTCGCGCTATCAGCCTCGCCCAACACATCGCTCGCGCCATCGAGCACCGAGAGTACGCCTGCATTCTCAGGCCCTCCCAGCGCGGTCACGCGGCGAGCTTTCGCGGTCCGAGACGCGACATCTTCCTCGGTTTGCTTGATGGCGAGGCGGTCACGTTGGTTGTCTGGTGTCCGCTCGGGAACCAACTCGCGCGCGCCAGCAAAACCCTCTTCACCGCCATGTCGTTGACCGAGAGCGTCATCCTCCCCGTCTCCTTGAAGATCCTGTCCTTGTGGTCGCACCGGGAGAATCACTCGCGGAGGTACGACGATCGCCTGCACGACGCGATCCTGGGATGGAGGAAGCTCCATCTCTTCGAGAGGAGAGAGCCCGGGAGGCATCGCGAGCACCAAGAAGAGGAAGGCGATATGCAGCAGCGCGCTCACACTGATAAACGGCAATGGGGTCGCATCCACGGGTCCCAGCGGCCCGACGCGCTCCTCCTGATCGACGATGCGGATCTGATAGCAGAGATCTCCGACATTCACGATCGCGCCGGAGAATGCGTCCTCGGCGCCTGCTTGTTTAAAAGAACCAGGCACCTCGAGCTCGAGGCACCACGCTCCTTTCCAGGCGCCATGAGGTCGAAGGCTCCTCTTTCCCAACAGCGAGCGAGCCTCGACGCGGTAATCCTGACCGAGCAGCATCGCGTCGAGATCATAGAAGAGGGTTAAAAACCAGCGGTCCGCTTCGTGTGTGATCAGGGGGAATCGAGGCGCAGGCCAGCGCTCATCTTCGAGGATAAAGTCACAGGTAGGATCACTGCCGACAAACAGATCGCGAGGTTTGGCCCACGCCTGCACAGAGAGCAGATGCTCGCGCCAGAAGACCGAGACTTCGAGCATGGAACCACGCTCGAAGAAGATCTCGCGATCCTCCTCGCTCTCGAAGCCGTCCTCTTCGAACCAACGCATCTCGTCGATCATCGCTCCTACCCATTCTCGTGCGCTGGAGAATCTCTCCTCGAGGCGCAGGGCAACCTTATCCTTCGATGTGTATGGACACCGCGGTCACAGAAAAGTTCCTGACTTTTTTCAAGAAAGATCCTCGGCGCTTCCTCTTCACCTCCAGACCGCTCGCGCGCTAGGATGTTTCGATAAGGAGGTCCCCATGAGATTGAAAACCGACGCGTTCCTGCACGTATTCGCGTTTATTCTCACGAGCGCATGTCTGCTGCTTCCAGCAGACAACGCTCGGGCGCATGGCATCTGGGCGCACGTGCATGTCACGGGTTGGGCGATAGAGAACCTCGAGGATGAAGAGCTACGAGACTTCTTCGCTGACCCGGAGGTCAAGAACGCCGCGCTCTTTGGCGCGGCATTCACCGACTCGGGCTATTGGCCGCAAGGCGGCGAGCATCGGCAGGCAGCGAGAGCCTACACCGAACACATGCACTGGGAGCCATTCATCGAGTCCGCGGTGACCTGGTTGCTCGAAAACGATCCTCCGCCCTGGGATGACCTGGAGTCGAAGAAGCGCGTGGCGTTTATCATGGGAGCGGCCTCTCACGGTTTGCAGGACGAGCTCTTCGACACGCTCTTCTTGCCACAAATCGCGATGCATGATGGCGCCGGGCAGGACGAGGCAGACCCCGCATCGGATGGCTTCCTCGCGCTCGACGATCACCTCCGCTTCGCGCCCGTGGAGTACATCCCGCTCGAGATGCTGCTCGAGATCTACAACGACGACCGCTTTCCATTGGGACACACCATCACCGAGGAGACGATCCGCGCTGGCGTCGATCTGATGACCACGGTTTACCTCACGCCTCGCGCCAGGGAGAGCGTGCGCGGGCTGGGTATAAAGAGCGAGGATGATGTCCCCTGGACACGCGCCTACTACCTGGACCCGTCGATCCCAGGCAGCCTGCGCGCAGAGATCCTCCCGACGCGCGCCTACATCACCTACCTGTGGGAGCGCTTGCATCAGCGCCACACCTACGAGGGCTTGCTCATTCACGCCTACCCCGACGCAGGGAGGTTTATGCGCTCTGGCGAGCCTGATACGCCAGATAGCTGGGTCTCGTTTGTCTTCGGGGTTGGCGTCAAACATGGCGACTTCTCGAGCCGACTCGCGGACGAGGAGCTCGACATCATCCAGGCCACCGGCGAGATCGTTGTATCGCAGCATGGCACCCGTTGGGGTGGAGAGGGAGGCTGGGGGCGCATCGTGACGCTCAGGCCGACGCATTCGATGCGCCCCGGGATGTGGCACATCGCGTCGATGCGCGCATCCGAGGGCGCGATCCTCGATAACACCGCCATCCCGATGACTCGCGAGCAGGCAACCTGGACGCACCGCTTTCAGGTCGCCTGCTCTGAACAAGATCCTTCCCCGTGCGAAGGCGTCACCGAACCGGAGCCGCTCCCGATCTCACCGCCGCCGATGCCTGACATGGGGCCATCCCTGATGGACATGGATGGCATGACGACCATGCCCGATATGGGCACATCACGCGCGGATATGATGGCAGAAAGAGACCTCGGGTCAGACGACCCGGCGGCTGATATGAACGTGGGACCTGCGCCCTCGGGCGACTCGGATGCTCTCGACGAGCGAGGTTGTGGCTGCGTCCTCGCGCCACCAAAGAGAGGTCCCGCGCCGTGGCTGGTCTTGCTGCTCGGTTGTCTGTTTTTCGCCTCCCGTCTTCGGCGCACGAAGGAGCGCGAACACCTCTCCTGTTAAGATGCGAACACCCACTATCGCACACCATCCCACACATCTGTATCACCGCATAATCGCTACAGATAAGATACTCTCACCCCCTCCCTTATCAAAACCTGGCATGGTCATTGCTCTAATTCTTTCCCAGATCATTCGCTAACACGACCTCCCCGTGGGTCGTGAAGCATGCAGAAAGCGCGCTTTTTTTGGCGCCAACGAAACACCTTTTCGAGGCCATAACCTCGGAAGGGTCGAGGAAAGAAAAGGATGTCAATGAAACGGACGATGAAGAACGCAGCCTTATTGTTGCTGAGCGCGGTCACGCTCCTGGCCGCGGGATGCGCACAGGACGTCGGTGATATCAACCGCGTCCAGGCAAACGCCCTGAAGAAATCGGACTTCGAAGGGGTCTGGTATTTCCGCCAGACGGTCACGGATGTACCCGCGCATGTC